ACATGATAAAAATGAATTCTTGACTTTACCAAAAAAAAAAATAAGAAAATCAGGACAAATCAGAGAAGCATTTGACCTGCTGATCATGAGCAAACTGCCCCTTGCCTGTGTGGAGTAGGCCAAGGATGAACACCATATTCAATCCACAATGAACATATTCATTAATGGCTGCCCATGCATACACACATATACAAGAAAGAGTGTTTGAGATGAAGTGAAATATTGAGTGCTAAGGTCAGCTGGAGCCCTTTTTTTTGGAAAGATAGCAGATACATCAAACACAACAAAAAAGGAAAATCAATTAAAACTGCAGATGCGAAGATGTACAACATACATAGTGAGCTATATATCCCATCTATATTCTTATCATTTATAAATAAATTATTTAATCAAACCAAGGTTTCTTTTTCTTTCAAAAGAAAAAAAAACGGACTGTATTTGAGGAATATGCAAGCCATTCAACAGGTAGTTTTTTCTTTCTTCTTTGGATCTGGATAGGGACTACTTTTGGTCAGGCCATTTAATTCGTTCCACATACTTATGAATATCTGAGATGATTTGTTCCTTGACCAAATCTTCTCGACCTGAGACGATATTGACGATCGCTTCATTCAATTCTGCTGACCCTAAAATATCTATGTCTATCATGTGCCATGTCATGGTATTGTTGGGTAGGAGGAAACAGAAAGTAGTTGCTTTTCAGTTACTAGGGTTGGGAAATTAACGGGGGGAAACAAATAACGTACGATCCGCGGTAGTAGATCCACCTCTAATATCAAAACTTGCTGGTCGATGTTCGATTTCATGAGTGAGGACAGGAATCTACAAAGCAATCCGATTAGAAAGCGACAAAGAGATGCAATACTCGAAGAGGAAAACCGAGGGGGAATGAATGATCAGAGCAAGCACGCACCTCTGAAGGATTATAGATTTTTTTCTTCCAGCCATCCACACACATCGCCCCCAAGCTCAACACGGACACCGTACCGTCCCCGTCACTAAACGTAACTCCGCTCTTGACTTTGGGATTTTCATGGTCAAGGTTGACTTCGTTGTCGACCATCCATTGTCGCGAGAGCGGGAAGCTCATCGGCGTCGCAGGTGTCTGATGTTTCTTGTCACATTCGATTCAACCCCTTTACATTTCGCTTGTGATCATCGGTCTCATGTCATCTGATCAATTGCTCTCGTTTGTACAATATCCTCTCTTTATTTATTTTTTTAATTAAAAATGCAAAACCATGAGAAGTGCATCGGTACGTCCAAAATAAGATTCCTGCGTTCGGATCCGAGGGAAACATTACTCACCTCAGTCGGTTTTCCAACCCCATACAAGCAGAAGATTTTGAGGTTTTTAGATCTCGGGAGTTGAACTTCGAGAGGATTAGTCCATTTACGAAAGTCCTGATTATTTGCTCTCAACCGTTCCGGATCCATCTCGATCCCAAAGCTAAAGTTACTTTCCAACATCTTCTGAAAGCTAGGCGGAGTTTGTCGGAGTAAGAATTGATAAGCACCCGACATCGTCAAATTAGATTTTTCTTCGCTGTGTCGCAGGTTGTATACATTTCCAGCCGTCAGGGTGGCGTTCACAGGATCGTCGGGTGCACTGTAGGAGTCTCCCTATTCCCAAATAAAAGATCATATGAGAAAAAAGCAAGATTTCGAAGCATTCCTTGCCAGATTTCATCTAATCAGGAGGAAACAATGAAGTTACTTACCCAGATGACGTCTCCGCCTTTGGGCCATAGAGCCGCCGATCCAGCCCAAGACCGAAACATTGCCGCGCGCTCCCGGCGGCTAAACAGCTTTTCTAGAATGTATACTCCGGCCGGGTTCAACTCCACCGTGTCTCTCATTTCGCCGCTCAGTAAAGCAGCCAAGGTTTTCGGAACACCTGTATAAAATAACAAATCATGGGAGTTCGAAGGGGGGATGAGATGCAGAAAGTTGTGAGAAACAACCATTATCGTTCGCTGATGGCTTGGAGATAGACATAGAAACGCACCTAGCAAAGTCCCAGCAATATTCACAACGCTTTCAATATGTTCATCTACCCAGTTTGGTCCGCCGTTTCCAAATAATGGACCTTCGGCTTCAACCCACCTTTTTCGATCAAGATATGTAACCTTTGTGATCAGCTTGACTGGAGCTTTTATTTATACCGAAGAATCCGTAACAGGGAATGAAAAAGAAGCTGATATTGAGAAGATGGATAGAAGGGAGGAACTGAGATCTGAAAGGAGACCCAACTTGAGAAAGAAGAGCACGATGTTTCCGCCCATACTGTGACTGACCAAAACGGTTTTCTTGCCTCCAATCAGTTTAGAATGCTCGATCATCACCTTCATCCGGGAGAAGTATTGATCGCGGACTTCAAGGTTAAGCGGCGCCAAGCGCCAATCGTACGACAACAGTGCCATATCGAGTGGGTCGTAATCCAGGACCGCTAAGTCTGTGGCAGAAGAAGAATGGAAAAATTGCAATATTGATGTGTGTCTGACTCCTCACAAAGATTGGTGAAATGCTGGAAACAAGAATTACTTTCGATTATCTTTTGCCACAGCCTAAGAGAATGCGAAGGACGCGAAGATTGGTCATTGTTACTTTTCTGCATTCAGAAGACAAGCAAGGGAGCGAAAGATTTACCAATATCCTTGCACAAAGTAAGCCGCCGCGTCGAAGCCTTGTGCCGCCCTGACTTTCACGCCTTCGACATCTAATCCAGTTTCCAAGTCAAGACTGATTGCCCTCAACCAAGCCTCTTTCCTGGTCATCACAGCTTTGATCTGAGTGATCGAACCGGGAATCGAGTTCAAGGATGAGAAAGTAAGCCACTATATGAAAGCGGTTGGTGGTAGAGTCAAATGATGGAAAGTCTGACCATGGCGGCGGTGCCCCAGATCCGACTCCGAAAGAATGGCGCATGCTCTTCCGAAGTTCCCCAACTTTCCAAACCCTAATATACACACACGTGGTTAAATGGGATACGAGCCGTTGTATTATGGAGAGGGGTAGACAAGTGAACTAACACTAGATATAATACCAGGTATCAATAGGACCGCGTGTTTCTTGTGCTGCCCGTTAGCCAATGCCTGTCGTCCGACCTGAGAAAGCAGAACAGCCCGCAGGATTGATCAGAGTCGGTTGAGGGGAGCGACAGATAAATCCGCTGGAATGTTGAGAGGGGATGAAGCCTACAGTAAAATCTCGATTTTTGAGCCATGACTTTGTTGTTGCCGATGCGAACACGTCCGAGATATTCAGTTGGGGAAGTATGCTGGAGATGATCGACGAGTCACTGAGCATGGCTTCCTTGACATTTGTAAACGTTTGATCGAAATCCGATAGGAAGGTCCCTTCTGGAAAACTTGGTGAACCCTCGGTGAATAACCTGAATTTTATATGAGATGGATAGGTTAAGGCAAGCAAGTTTTAGCAAAATTTGACTGGTTGCCTCTCTTTTTTATTACCAACTATTCGATGATGATACACAAAAGGGCTGACCAACCAAGAAAAGCGCCCAGAAGGCCACCAAAGACGAAGAAGAGCCTCCGACGAGAAAAGATTCCTTGTTCATGGCTCAGAGGTTTGATACTCGATTTGGGATCCCTTGATTCTAGGGGGCTGTTGGGCTGGCTTGAGTCTGGAGTTTCGTCTGCCCTCTGTGTGGATTGGACCATCTCAGATCGGAATAGAGATGTTTGAGGAAGGAATTCCAAGTTGCTTGAGACTGGCCAGCTGCCCTTTTATGGGAAATGGCCATATTCGAACTGGCTTACATAACCCACCAATCCGGAAATTCATCACACCCCCACTCGACATTCTTATGAGCCTCATCTTTGCTCACAAGGATTCTGGAAAGCATATCGGTCAAATCTCAGGCAGTCAAATGGGGGGAGCATCACTTTGCAATCATTGGTGTCTTGATTGATCATGCATGGTCAAATCTTCAGCGGTTTTTGCCTCCCCAATACGGAGTGATTACGCATGAAGAAGTTCCAATACCAACAGTGAAAAATCTCTACTGATTAGGTTTCTTCATCATAACCTCAACAACCATGGGGGGAAGTGTTACTACGACTTCCCTTTGGTTTTACGGGCTCTGTAAAGCCAGATCTACAGGTTGTAAAGCCAAATTTACAGACTGTAAAGCCATATTTTTGTTGGGAATCACTGGGAAAACAGGCTGTAAAATTAAAGCGAAGTCCTTGGCCACTATAATCACACAAACCACAGCTTCAAATTGAGGGGTTCACAACCAAGATTTACAAAGCCTTGTTGGAGCCAATTTTAAGGTTCTTGTTAGCAAGATTTTAGAAAGTTTGACAACATGGACAGATGTTGGGGTTTCTGAAGAATCAGAACAACTTTTGATTTTTTTCAAAAAGTTGTTGATAAACACCTTATTAAAACGGGCTTTGTATTTTATGTAAGTTTCTATTATTTGGGGGGGGGGGCTGACATTAGTCAGGCTTCTGATTGGCATTTCTCATCAACCCATTTATCCCAAACCAGCAGCCGCACAGCCTGCTTCAAAGCTTAAAAATTGTTAAGCAACACACTTGTTACAAACAAAATACACCATCCAATCTGTATAAAAAACAAGAATTTTTATTAGTGGAACATGGATCCAAAAGCTCAATCATGAACCCCGCCAATAGTTTTCTTGGCTTCTTGCACAGCATGTAAATTTGGCTCAACTTTGGTTTATAGCAAACAATTTAGTGAAATTACAGCTCAGTCACACCAGCGGGGGGCCGCTACGCTTTTGGCCCAAAAAGCGTAGCGTAGCGGCGCTTTTTTTTCCTCAAAAAATTGTAGTGTTAGCTTATTTTTAGCGGTTTTTTGCTACGCTACGCTGCGCTACAGCGCTCTTAGCAGAAAAAGCGGCCAAAAACCGCTAAAAAGCGCTGTAGCGCAGCGTAGTGGGCCCTTTTTTGTGGCCCACACGCGTAGCGTTAGCGGTGTCGTGGCTGAATTCCGCTATGCTACGCTTAGCGCTAACAGGAATACTGCTGCGTTACGCTACACTAACCGCTACGGTTAGTGTAGCGGCCCACCGTTGGTCACACCAGTTGGAATCAACCACGGAATCCACTACAGGTTATTGAGGTGATGATAGAAAACAAAGGCATCTTCTTGGCAACTGTTGTGATGCTTTCTCACACCTCTGTGATGTGAGGTGTAAAAAATTTTGACCTATCAAGTTTGGACATTTTTTGCGATTGTTGAAAGCATTTCTCACAATTTATTATGAACCCCCCTTATATACAAATGCACTATCTTCCAAAAAGAACTTAGGGCCTGTACCATATTACCCCAGCCAATTCTTGTTTTCATTTTTGATATTCTTGTTTTTTGCCAACCAAAATTCACTTTAATGGGCTTGGCACTGAAAATTGGGCTCTGTACTGTGGGAAGTTGGGTGTGCATGGCACACCATTTCTGGGGGGGGTCAATTTCCAACTTCAGAATTGAAGATGGACTTCAAAATTGGGGTTGTGGTACAGGACCTTAATTAAGTTAACCTCATAAACTCATCCAAACCTGGCGATTTTCAATAAATTTCAGCATTTGATAATAGGGGGTATCAACAATGGTGAAACAATACAATGTGAAGCAATAAATCACCATGTATTGGTATCACACTTTTTTAGCAATGTACACTAAATTGATACCAATGCATTGCATTGAAAAGGCAATGCATTGCATCCACATTGTATCAGAAAACAATGCAAATGGTGATGCATGCTGTCTTTAGCAATGCACACCAAGAATGCGGGAAATGCACCCAAATTATTGTGCATCACATTGCATTGCTGAATCAATGTGATATCAATACCCCACATTGAGATGTGATGTCAATACCCCACATTGTTTTTTCCAATGTGGGCAATACAATGCAAGGCCCCTGCATTGCCCACTCAATGTGATACAGTACAGGACCAGCATGCATTGCATCAGTTACACTGTTGGTATCAAATATAACCAAATCCTTGTTTCATTGACTGGTTTGAAAAATTTGTAAAGATATTTGTTCTTCATTAAACGAATCAACACCTATGGGGGCGCATTGATGCAAAAAAAAAAATTGAGAGTGACTGGTTTATAATGCTGTATTTCCTATATTTGATATCCCTTAATAATGCAGATACTGCTAAACTGACTGTTGTTACTTGAGAAAAAAAAACTTGACTGCTCATTGTAATTGTAATGGATTAAGGGATTTTTCACTTGATTGTCACTGGCTGATGGTTTTTGTTGATAAGATCAGATTGGTTCTGATTCTGATATGTATGCAAGAATCTGAGACTCCTCCAGCTCCATATGTGCTATTCACCTTTTGTAACACAAGCATTCTCACATTGTGTCCTATTGTTTGAGTCTTAGGAGAACATACTCATCATGATCCAAGAAACAGAGAGGAATGCCCACACAATTTGTCCAAGAAAAAATATATTATTGAGGAAGAATTTGCTTCCAATGTCAGACAATATTGATTAGTTGAGGATGCCTCTGAATTTGTGTTGAGGAACTTCAAAATTCAATCAGTTTTAGTCTGAATTTTTAGAACTATTCTTTTTGCATATATAAATAAGATTGAACAGAATAGTGAATAGTATCTCAGTACATATGATGATCAACCATGAAAGTTTCAAAGGCTAACAAGAAGGATTGAGAAGAATAAAAATCTGATTGCTGGAATCTCTGGATGGGTAGTTTGGGCTTAATCAAATGTGTGTTAAATTTATCCTCAATGATCACATTCTGATTACTTATATGAAGAGTCTTTGTAGGAGTAATCAGAATGTGATCAAGATGAAAAACAAAAGCACTGAATGGCAAGGAATTGAAAGGACAGCTTAAATGCATTAGCCTAGGTTTTGATTTTCTCCCTAAAACGCTCACAAATTTCTTAGCTGCACAGTATAGTGTGATTTCAATTCCCATGATCAGTTGCACTCCAATCAGCTTCCGCATCACAAGAGGAACCAATTGGCTTATTATAATCTGCAAATATGCATACACACTTCTGGCAAGTCTTTGGGTCTCATGGGGGAACAGGGGGCAGCCTGACAGGGGAGTTTAGCCCCATCTAAGCCTTCAAGGGCTTCATGTCTTGCTTGCCTTGATGGGAGACAAGTGTGGGGATGTTTAGTGAAAGCTCTAAGCTCCATTGACATCCATGACGCTCTCAGCCTCTCCTGTTTTGGAGTGGTGAAGTGGTGAGAGAGTTTGTTGTCAAGGGAGCTTGAGTTTGTTCATGCACACAACTCGGTTAATATAATTGAGTTGTTCCCGGCGGGGTTTTTGTACCTCATGATGTGCCTTTTTCCTGCCCTATAAGGCCTTATCTGGCACCGTTTTGGGCTTGCGTCAGCGGCTTGGCGGACCCCTATAAACCCATGGCCTGGAAATGCTGGCATGAAATCACGCCATATCCCTGTTGACCGTCTTTCACGCCCTCTTCGGTCGTGCGCATATAAACCAGCACCCCACCTCCCTCCCGTTTTCCCATCTTCCATCATCCCACCTCGACCATCCATCTCATCTCTTACTGCCCCAACTTCAGCATCCTTCCTAGTAAACACCATCTTCAACCAGGATGCATCGTCCATCCATGTTTGGCTTCATTGCCACGGCCTTGGCTGGCTCGGTATTGGCCGTCCCATTCAATGATGAGCGCGATAGCCATCTCGCCCCTCTCATCACCCCAACTGCCCCGCCAGTCGGAGGACCTCTCTCTCATCTTTCCATCCAAGCGGGTCGTTCCCCCTCCAACTACCTGATCAAGGATAACTACATCGTCGTCTTCAAGAAGGGAACCCCCGAACTTCACTCTCGTCAACACAAGGACAAGGTCGTTCAACTTTGGAAGCAAGACCAACAACAGCGTCTTCAAGCCGACTCGTACGGACCCGCCGACTTGTTCTCCGGGATCAAGCACCACTTTGATATGTGAATTAACCCCCCCTATACTCCTGTGTTATCATCCACTGATCAGCCCATACTGATTATCATCCTCGGATTATCATTTACCAGTGGATTGGACTCCTTCAAAGGTTATTCCATTCACGTCCCTGAGGCACTCATCTCGATCGTCCGATCGTTCCCCGAGGTCGATTACGTCGAGCGCGATAGTCGAGTTTGGATCAACGACCAGTTTGAGAATCCTACTACGATTCCCGTTGCCGAGAACCCCCCTCATCCTGTCTCAGAGCCGATCGACATCGAATACGGAGCCCCATGGGGTTTGGCCCGTATCTCGCATCGCCACAAGCTCAAATTCAGCACCTTCAACGTTTACCCATTCGAAGATCCTGCTGGGCAGGGTGTTGATGCATACGTTATTGACACGTACGTGATCTCATGCTCACCTGCCTGCATGTCCTTATGCTCACACGCTTTTTATCTTTTCTCAGCGGTGTGAACATCGAGCACGAAGATTTGGAAGGTCGGGCAAGATGGGGCAAAACCATTCCTGATGACCCAGACCAAGACTTGAACGGACATGGTAGTCACGTGGCTGGAACCATCGCTGGCAAGACCTACGGAGTTGCGAAGAATGCTACCATCATTGCTGTCAAGGTTTTGGGCGCCGGTGGTAAGCCAACCCACTGCCAGCTTTTTTTCGTCGGCTTGTCGTATCTTACCAACATTATCATTCATGTAGGCTCCGGTACCATGTCGGATGTTGTCGCTGGTGTCGTGTGGGCTGCCGAAGCTGCCGCCACCAAGGCTCGCGATGAAGCTGCCAAAAAGGACTCCAAGCACAAAGGCAGTGTTGCAAACATGTCTCTCGGTGGTGGAAACTCCCCTTCGCTTGATCAAGCTGTCAATGCGTATGTCCCCTGTGCTTGAGCAGTCGCATTTGCCCGACTGTGACTGATACAATCCCCCGTTACAGTGCTGTTGATACTGGCCTTCACTTTGCTGTTGCCGCTGGTAACGACAACCGAGATGCCTGTACCTTCTCCCCCGCTGCTGCCCAGAAGCCAATTACTGTTGGAGCTTCAACCATCCAAGACGAGCGAGCCTACTTCAGTAACCACGGCAAATGTGTCGACATCTTTGCACCCGGTCTCAACATCAAGTCTATCTGGAACACAGGCAAGCGAAGTGTCAACACGATCTCGGGAACCTCGATGGCTAGCCCTCACATCGCTGGTCTTGCAGCTTATTTCCTCTCCATCTACCCCGAGAAATTGGATCTCGCTTCGCTCGGTGTCTACGATGACGAAGAAGAGGAGTTTGTTGCGTCCAACGGAGAGGCTTATGACTTGGGACAATATTTCTCTTGGAACACTGTTTCATCCCAAGGTCAACTTGCTTTCGGTAAATTCAAGGAAGCCGTTGGCTATGCTGGCCCAAAGAAATCCGACGATGGCCCGCAGTCTCTTTCGACTAAGATGTTGAAGAAAGCAATGATCAAGATGTCGACCACGGGTGTTCTTTCTGTAAGCCTACTTCTATTTTCATATGTTAGCTACGTGGTGCCACCTTGTCAACACAGCTAACCTGATATAATATTCCTAACCACAGAAATTACCGGGTCACACTTGCAACTACCTTGCCTACAACAACGCCACCGTGGCTCCTTCGCTCAGCCTCGCGGAACTTGGAATCTAAGCTCCCAGCTTCACCTATCCTGCTCTCCTTGTAAAAAAAACTGACGGAAATATACAGGCCATTGTTTTTTGAGCACATGCATGTCAAATCGGCTTTTGCTATTATTTTGTCTCTCACCACATCCTCTTCCTCAGCTCTCGCTCTCGTCCAGTTGTACTAGCTATATCATGTAAAACTTATGTGCTTCTACTCCTCTCTCTCCGCTTTTGCTCCTTCTTCCACTCTGAAATTCATCCCATAGCCTCTTTTCTTTGAAAACGCTGATGTGTTTCAATATGTGTACGACTCACAACTTGGCCGGAAGATCCCCAACTTTGAAAGACCTTTCCAGACAAGATAATGTCACTGTTGCCATCTTTTGGGATTTGGTGAAATTCCCAGTAAATGTCTCGTATCTTGAAACCTGTCTCAATTGATACGGCATTAGAGCATTTCCGCGCACGCATCGGACACAACCCAAATCGAGTGAAATCTTTTCGGAAACTGGAAATTTGGATCTACTTTCAGCTCGGCCACGTGACTTCCACATGGAGCACCTTATGGCGAATCAAACTCTCGCTCTGCGGCATGCGTGTTCTTGTGTTCAACTGCAGAATCGGTCGGCAAATCAAAACACCTGTTGAAATTCGCCAGGTGTTGCGTGTCTCCGACACCGGTGGACTTCCATGTCCTAAGTCTTTACGGAGCCGTATTTAACTAAGTCTCTCGGCGAAGCACTTGGTTAAGTTTGCTCCGGAACGCCGCCGAGGGACTCGTCCGCATGAACCAGACTTTGGGCCTCAGAAGAATGGGCATTTTGAATCTAGACTGTGCGATCAGTTCCTCCGGCGCGCCCCCGGCTCCGGAGGGACTTGAGTAAAGTTAGTTTCCTTCATTAAAAAGTATGTACTCCTTGCGCGCTTTTCAGACGGGGAGCATGGCGAGCCACTATGTAGTCCTTACATGCGTGTCGCGACTATCTCTTATCTGAGACTCCGACTATTCACTCTTATCAGAGCTCTCATCTATCTTTTTCGATTGGTTACAGGCGTCATTCTCATCGAGTTTGGCGCGTGCCCGATTGCTCTTCGCGAGACGTGTGGAATCTTGCTTCAGGATGCTTCGTGAATCGTGATTTCGGCTCGCAGGCCGACTCAGTGCACATGGCTTGCAGGATCAGACGCCCCACAAGAGCCTCCGGTTTGTCTATTTATAAGCTGGCCACCTCTCCCCTTCCAATCGGCTTCTCGTTCCTCACACCTGCACACTTCCTCCTTCGTCATTGTTCAAGAGGCCTTGATCACCCGACCACCACTCCACATCATTCAAGGCTCCCGCAGCTTCTATCATTAGACTCATACACAGACGAACCAAAATGGTCAACGCAAAGTATATTATCATGAGTATCTCTTTATTGTGTCTTGGGACGAAGGTCACTTCAAGTATGGTAGATATCCACGGCATTGCAAGCGCGGCGGACCACTTGCCAACTACGGCGCTAGCCGAGGCAGACCCGCCATGTAAACACTCTCCGGTGAAAAAATGTGAAGCATGCCACCAGTGTGTGAAGTGTAAACCCCGCCATTGTACTACTACCTGAGTGTTGGTACACCGCAAAAAGGCCAAACCACTCAGGTGAGTCATTCTTCTTGCTCTATATTGTGCCCTCACCTCATCTTTTAACAGACATTCATTACCTTCTGCTCTTCTCCATCAAACAGTACATACTCACATCATCAAAACTGCCTAAATCTTTCCAATAAATAAACACAAATCAACACCAAGATACTCCTGATTCACTTCACCCATGACCAAGTTGCCTGAAAGAGTTTGTAATGATTATCACCTGTACATAAATAGTTCACAGTACATAGTTCAACATTTGATTTCTTGGTACCAAGTTCTCAGTACATATTTGAGTGATTGCCTTGTCTATAATTTACATACTGTCTCACCAACCCAATCATGTGCATAATTTTATATATATTGGGCATACTTCTACAGAAATATGTTGTTTCCTAGGGGCAATGGTGGGCCAGCTACGCTAACCGTGGCGTTAGTGTGGCGTAGCGTAGCAAAAATACGCTAATTTTTAGCGTAGCTTTAGCGCAAATCCACATTTCTGCACTAATGCTATGCGCAAAGGGCACAAGAGTGTGTTAAATATTAGTGTTAGCGCAGATATTTTGAATTGCGCTAACACTACGCGCTCAGGGCACAAAAAAGCGCCCGCTAAGCTGCATTGCAGAGAATTGGAGCCTATGCAAAGTGCGGAATATCCCCGCACGGATCTGGTAAGTGCAGAATTGATACTGAGCTGTACAGACCAAGAGGTCCATCCATATTGGGAAGTGGGCGGTTCGGACTTGTTTCATCAGTGGGCTGGTGTCGGTCAGGTTTCATCATACTACTCACTGGAAGCTACATATATAATATAATACTTAAGGATTGTTGGGAAAATAAGCACGACTATTCCAAGCCTGCCCTTCAATTTTGTTAAAAACATTCCTTTCGATTCTCAAGGCCCATGATGCGAACATCATGTCATCAATCACCGTTCAAGACATGGTGAATTTCCTCTGTGTCACCTCCAATGTGGTAGTGCGCTCAGAGAACTCGCTTCAGCTCACTGCACACCGATGGCCTAAATTTTCGAGATTGAGAGTTCTAATATACCCCTTTCCATGTCTGTGGTTAGAGTCAGGTTGATGACACTAGAGGTTATGATCAAGATTTTGTCATCAAACAAAGCAACAAAAATGAACTCAGGTCTTTGAACATACCTGCCAGTTGATGTTTGCTGGGTTTGCAAAGCGAGAGGGATGGTATCACAGTTGACTGGTGGAGTTGAGCGGGCAATCTGGGCAGGTCAATCCAGTGAGATGTCCAATGATGGGAGGTGGAAGGGGATGGATACATAGGCGGTGTCTATCCGTGATCTTAGGGCCTGTACCGTAGCTCCCCAGCCAATTCTCATTTTCATTTTTGATCTTTTTATTTTTCACCAACCAAAATCCATTTTGGGGTTGGCACTGAAAATCTGGCTTGTGTGCTGTGGGAAATTGAGTGTGCATGTTACACCATTTCCAGCCAAGTAATTGTAAATTGAGTGTCAATGGTACACCATTTCCAGCCAATTAATTGGAAATTGACCTGAAAATTGGGGTTGTGGTACAGGCCCTAAGTTTTTCTCCTTTTTTGAGCAATGCATGTTTTTTTTTTCCTTGATACTGTTGGAAAAACCTTTCCGCTTTGGAAGGATCTTTCTGCTTTTGGATTTGGAATCCAATGTGCTCACTAGAAACCTTCCGGAGTACAAGCTGTATTTTCCGTGGTTTCTGCGGTTTTGTGAGCCTGGGTCTCAAAAGTGACATCAGGACACAAGGATTGGGGGGCTATTCTAGATGTATTTCAAGGGGGTGAAGAAATACAACTAGAATAAGAGAAAGGGAGAGAGAAAGGAAGAGAAATGAAATGAATAATCTTTTAATTGTTTATTTATTTTATGATCAAGTTTTAATGCAGTCTTACTTTCCTTAGAGGATGGCTGTTATTAAGCGGAATTAATCTACGCCTCCTAATCAAATGAAACTGAAAAGGGTACCTGGTATTGATATGTCAATCCGGCCACTATTTTTTAGATCTAAGATCAAGGGTCTTTAAAGGGAAACCTATGTGGTTTTTAGTTATACCACCAAACAGAGAATGAAGATGACTTTATTTGATATGATGAGGTTTGAGGCAGAGGTTTAGTAGAAACAGAATGGAGTAATCATTCAGAGAAACAAAGAAGAAACTTAGCAGAAAGATGCAAGCTGAACTTGAAGGACTGACTTACATATCGGTGATCCTGACACAATGAGTGGGAAGATTCCAATAGGTGAGGGACTCCTAAAGATAACACGGCGATGACATGGCGGTGAATCCAAGTTGAGGTTTGCTGATTTCTGGTCTGAGTTGGTTCTGGGTGGTTCTGAAGTCTGAAGATCCTGAAAATGCGAACTCAGTATCCTCTGAGAGAATTTTCAGAGTTGGATTACATAATCACAACATGTACATGTGGTAGAGAGTTGGAATTCCAACTTGGTTGATATTTTGCAAGGTACGACTACGGTGAAATATTACAAAATCTATGAAGGAGAAGAGTAGTGTAAAAGTGTGTAGTGGTGACTAAGGTTAAAATCACATGAGGAATTCATTTCTGAAATCAGAATGTAATAAAATCATGAGATAAAAAAGTTACAGTAGGAACATAGCTGAAAAGGAGGACTTAAGCAGTCTTTTGGCCAGCTTGGCTGACTCTAAGGCTGACAGGTTTCCGCACTTTCCACCTTGCCTCGGGGAGGCTCCAATGCTCTCCTGCATTGCAGTGCTTTTAGTGGATTTTTGGCCTTTTTCACCACCAAAAGTGCTGTCGCGTAGTGCTGCTAGCGGCGCACTAACACAACAAAAAAATGATGCTGTTAGAGCCACTACAAATTAGTGTAGCGTAGTGATGAAAGCGGTGTGCTAACACTACACAAAAAGGGCCACTTTTAGCGCCACTACGCTAACACTAAGTGGCCCTGTAGCGTAGTGTAGCATAGTGGCCCACTGCTGCTAGGGGAAGTTCTTGTGCACCGTCAAGGCTGACCTCTAAACATTAATTGTGATTTGAAGTTATTCCTCCTGGTGATACTCAACAGTAAAAACCTTCCAATCATTTTCTGTGGATAACAAGTTGGTCTGTTGAGTGCACTACATGTGGGGACCCATGGAGCTCCCTGTGGGACCTGGGCTATACCTGCAGGTAGCTGATCCAAAAAATGATGGTCAAGAAATGCAGCACATTAATTACCTTTGCAAGCAATAGGACAGTTCACGTCCAGAATTTCATCTGGCTTGCTGATCAGCCACCAGCTTCCTGTTACTAAAAACGCAACAAAATTTATGAAAAAATGGCCACATCAATATTCAATGCTGAACCAACAGGTGGAAATAGGATGATCATTAAGCTGGGCTGGGATGTACACATATTTGAGAGAAAATATTAGCAACCAACAAGCAAAATTTGTTTTGGCCAAGCTATTAGGGGGGTTCACGATAGCTTTTTTGGCTTATGGCCCCCCCTTAAAAAAATTCTTGCTGGCGTGCTTTTTGGGTTAAATTTTAAGCTAAAAAAACAGGCACTAACATCGGCCAGCATTCATAAATCTTGTTGATCATCAAACTACATGATAAATCTTTAGTTAGCCCCCCCGAGTTTCTGATCTGCCCAAGATAAACCCCTCCACTTGATTTACACATCGACAACTCCCTGAAAGGTTATGTTTCCACAATCGTTTTTCTTTGCCAATCACATTTAAGCATATTTCATACATACGTCCATCCCTGCATCATCCATCAAAGCCGACAAAGGTTGAGACATGTTTGGAGCCTGAGTCGGTGAAGCCTGAGTCAAGGAGACATCACCCAATGAGGGGAGGATCCCAGACCCATTGGTCGCACGTGCAAAGGATCGCTGGGTCATCAACGATGGGGATGGGTCCATGGCGGTCCCAGTGCAATCCAGAGGTGGCGGAAGTTTGTCGTCCTCGTCAAGTACATTATCTCCATCCAGTTGGGGGGTGACCTGGCCAGTTAGCCGATCGAGCGTTGAAGAGTGGCGGGACCAATCCAACTGGGACGCAGGCGTGGTTAACCCCGACGGTGGTTGTTCTTCTTGGGTCTCTTCCCAACCAGACAGAAAAACTCTGGGTGATGATTCACGACAACCGCTGGTTTTGTTCGTCTCCCCATACAAGTCGGGCCCAATCCCCGAGTCAAATTGAACAGGAGCATCAAGAAGAGGTCCCGGAGGATACCTTGTTGCTCACTGTATTTTTGCATGATACGGTGTTGAGTGATGAACCAGCGCCGGCGGAAATGGTTGGTTAGGTGATCTGACGGTATTCTGACCCGGCCAGAAGTTTATGGGGAATGATGGTATGGCCTCACCAGTGCGTTCACATACATAAATCTTTTTGGTGGGTGCCTTCTGGCGACTCTTATTGTACGATATAATTTTACCTGCGCAGCGTGCGCAACACTTCTGGTGGGACGATAAAATGTTTCTGGTGAAACGCTATCGTGAACCCCCCTATTAAGTTTATGGTAAAATGTTACCAAAAAAGCAAACCAGCTGATTGGCAAACCAGCTAAAATGCCAGACATCAAAAGTCCTATAATTGAAAAAGCTCCATATATACACAGCTCAAATTATCATAAAAGAAACTGTGGAAGGTCCCTCCAAACATTAGAATACTTACATAGGCTAGTATGCTTCTATTATATTTGTATTAGGACGGTTTGCATTTGAAATATTTCAGCAAAAATTTTATGTGAAACCAGCAGAGCGCTTTGAGTTTGCATGCATAAAGTTGGCCTGCACATCTGCCAATTTTTAAACTTTTTTGAAACCAGCAAGCAGGAATTTTATCCAAAATCAACAAGATTTTATTCAGATGTGAACAGTCCTATATATGGTATTTTATTTAGTTTGAAAGAGGCTCATATCTTCAAGATTTTCCTCACTGAATGCAAACCACCTTATCTTAGTATTTCCCACATCTGTAACAAGACCCAGTTTATGAACCTCAGTCCTGCAACCCTATGCCCCTCAACACCAAAAAATAACATCAATGATCAAGTCAGGATTCAAATGGGCCGGGGTTGGATAAAAAACAACAATCTTTGTTTAGATGGTAGTAGTTTGTAGAAATTATTGGAGAATACAAAACTCCATTTAATATGTGTATGTTATTAGAGAAAGAAATTTGTGTATGTGTTATTGGAGAGAAGGCCTTTGCAACCCTTTTCCAGGCCTAAAGACAATTCTAACTTTGAGGCAGGCCAAAGGGAGGGGCCCGTCGCGTTCGGTGGAGACTCGGAGAGATTAACTCCGCAAGAGGCGCCTGGCCGTGTCTCACGTGTCTTGGCCTCTGAAACCATGGGCATTTGTAAAGGTGTGCAGCCGTTTGCAGTCCACCTTGAAATACAAATTACAGATACAGCTCTTGAGTTGTGTTCTTCAAACTCGTTTGAGATCCTTTCTTGGTCCTGCTTGCGCACTTCCCTTCTGCTGCTGCTGCTGTTTTTATGTAGACTCGGGGTTATCTGTATCTCTACATAATCTCTGCGCACATCTGAAGACATTTTTCATGGAATTATTATTGCGGCAGTGTCAGGTGATGCCGGTCCAGCCGGTGTCTGAGGCCCGTGCGGGTTTCAGCTCCATTAGTAACCCAATCGGTTTCTCCACCTGGAGTACTGTAGTGACCGAGTTCTGCCGCTTGCCTATTGCCCAAGCCAGTTATTCTGATAGGATATAAGGGCCATTCTTCATACTCCGGGATCCCCCAGGTTTTTTCTTCAGGGCACCAGAAAAAAAAAGATGAAAATGGGAATCGCCAGTTTCTATCCTACCCTTTCCCTCATAGTTCTGTCCACCCTCTTTCGTACCTCGAATGGCTTGGTTCCTTCCAACTGTGATAGACCACCGGCCGTTCATTCGGCATGGCACGCTAACCACATGGATGATTACCTTCAGAATTACCCCCAGGCTGGCTCGCTAACCTTCCAGGTTATTATTATTTTGCACCGTCTTCCTTCTCCTTAATTTTTTGGCTTGAAGTACCAGGTTGTGGAAAACCAACGCTGAAAAACACAAGCATTTTCTTGTTCTGTTTGATCCACTCAAAAAGGAATACCTCAACCAAGTTGGCGTCCACGATTTCTCGTGCGGCATCGGCAAAGACTGTGAACTAACGAGACGGGACAGCTGTAACCAGTCAATCAATGATTCGGATTGGTTGATCCTTGAATCTGTGGCCAACTGGAACACTTATGTGAACTCCTTATCGACAGAGACTGATAGGATAGGAACTGAATTGTTCACTGGTGAGTGGATGAAACCGGTCAAGAATTTTGAAGTCAATTTACTCTTTTGGGGCCATTCCGATATATTAACTCCTTTTGTTTGATCTCCCGCTGCCTTTTGTCGTCCACAGATGTCGCTGCTAAGATGGCTGGATTTTTGTGAGTTTTCTGCCCAAGTCCCCATCTCGAACGGTCAATCATTATCATATGGATTAACCTTTTGTATAACTCCATTCCCCAATTGAATCGTTTTTAACAATAGGGACCAGCCTGATCAACCCCCTCGAGCTCATCTACGCAAGCGAGGTGTTGGCCATGATGTCACCAAGATCGAGAAGATTCCCAACGACATCAAACTTGCAGAGGCAGAACGACCGACTGGTGATTTCGAAGTTGACCCTGTCGAGATCAAGAATGGCTTAAAAGCACCTCTGGTTACTCGGGTGGTCCCAGAATCAAAAAACTTAGTACCATTACAACTTCCCTCGATGTGGCTCAGAGTGACGAGGTATCTGAAAGAGTTTGCAAGCCGAGGATCTTTGGGAATTCGAAAGATGATGAGGTCGAACAAAAACGGGCTTCCGCCGGTACCATTTTTTCCGAGCGAATTAAGAGTGGTTGCGGATGGAGCAGATGACCAGGAGGCATTGGCCCGCGATGCCCAAAAGTTAGAGCTTTTGAAAACTTGGCGGTCGGCCTATTCCAAGCTGATGAATAATCAAGTACCGTTGGACGAAAAAGTCAAAGGAGAGCTCCTACAAGAGCTGTCCAAATATCTTGCCGAATGGAACAAGCTATCTCAGGAGGAGTTCAAATGGGTGAACGAACAAATCAAAAAGCAAAGTCAAGCCGATCTTGCAAAGTATCAGCAGGCGGTTCGCCAGAGGGCAGACTTAGAGGGAGAACGGGACGGATTGACAGCCAGTGACGCCACCGACATCAAGGTGAAAAACCAAGCCTTGGGCGAGGTCAAGAAAGCAGGAAAGTACCTTGACAAAGCACATGATGAAGTTGAAAAAGCTAGACAGAAGAGAGTTGAAACGCTCAACAAACTCATTGAAGACCAAGATCGGATCATAGAGTCCTTGATGACTCCCAAAGGCACCTGGGCATTGGACCCTTCGCATGTTGAGTCTACTCCGGAACTACCACATTCCCTGGCAGGGGTGAAAATCTATCCACCCCCATCACCAGCACGATTGGAACCTAAAGAATTGTTTTCTAAGCGATCAGCCCATCTTGCGTATGAGAAGAACCTCTTGAGAAAACGATGGAGCCAATTATATCAAGCAGCGATCCGCCGCAAGGTTGGCGAAACGGCCCAACGATCCAAAGCAAGGCTAGAAGAGCTGGTCAAAATCATCGAGCAATGGAAATTATTAGATAGGGAACACCTTCTGACCCGACGGATCGAAGCCATGCAAGCGCTGATCGATCATAACACTCAACAGGTGCCCAAGAAGAAGATCCTGGAGGTCTATCGTAGCCTTCATAGTCTCTGGATGCCACATGTCGCCCAGCTAGCCGACTTGAAAGAAAAACATCCTAAGGAAGTTGCAGAAGTGTCTGCTCTGTTTCCAAATAGGTTTATTCAATTAGCAACCCACGACGCCAGTGTTGAACTCAAGCAAAGTACGTTTCAATACCCAAGAGTCTTCTCCCTCCATTAAATAAAAACGGGCTGACCGTTGACAAATTCATTTTTCGGTTCGGCGTAATGGTAGGGATGCAGCAGAAAGCGCCGAAGAAAAGTAAAACAAAAAGAGACTTGAGCTCCGTTCCAAGCGTAAGCGGTGTTGCTCCACCACCAAAGTGTAGCTGATCAATATCATAATCAGTTTGGCTGACTTCCCGCAATTATCTCCTCAGCAGAAAAAATTAATCGAAGGTCATGAAAAATCAGCGGTCCTAAGTAAAACAAAAAGCTTGGTTCGGAAGAATGTCAAGAAGATTTTAACCACTACCTCGTTGGATGGTCGGCGCAATCATCACAGCTCCCATCAAGGAATCTTCAACATTATTCAGCATGGTCGATTCCTTTCGGGCTTTGATTTCGAACTCCTCGTCCAAGACTTGGAATTATTGATCCAGTTGAGCTTGGTTTCCAGGATGCTCCAAAAAGCTGTAGGTGTCTTTCGATTTGATACATCCGATGCCCTGTATGCCACGCTACCTTTCTTCTGCAAAACGCTCGCTGACGCGAACTTCTGCTTCCCTTCTCGTTGAAAAAAGAATGCATACGTATATGTGGATGTTTCAGTTGAGTTTTCCTTTGTTTCTTCGTGCAATAAAAATGGAATTTTATTTGCAATTCTTTTTCGCCTAAACCGATGCAAAAAAATGCCAAGATGGTATAAGCCGCTAATTATTTATTGACTTCATGTGCCATACCATGTTGAAATTTGCAGGCAAAATGTGACCCTCAAAGCTACCAATTTCGCATAAACGATCACAGCGCATCATTTTGCGGCTCGCAAGAGATGTAAGTGCAACTTCCAGGTTGAACCGGCATCTGAAGCGGACTGGAAAGATGTTGATCGCTTTTTTTCCCTCTGACTCAACAGTGTTCATACAATCACGGTCGAAGAACACAATCTCATCGAGCACGATTTCCCAAATCTAAACTTGAGAGACTTAAATAATGCCTTAAGTTCCAATGGCTATCAGCTATCCACGATCATTCATTTGGCTTTACAATGCCATCATTCAAAGGCAGGGGCCATCAACGAGTTGAGCCTCTTTCTTCCTGCTCGCTTGCATTTATAAGAGCTTGATCTTGAAAAAAAGAACGCTTCACTCACTTCCACATGTTTGTTTCTGGGGATCTTTAGCGAAATTGACGTTTATCCAATGCCGTCGTCCAAATCTTTGGTTCGCTTAACTGGGGTTTCGATGTGCATGGTCGAACTACCTGTTCACTATCAAGCTACTAAATGATACTCCCTCGTGTTTTGCTGATCTAGAGATCGGTAACTCATGCATGAGCGTACTCTCGAAAACGGATACGGATTTTTCCTCTTTCTTTTTCCTCTTTTTTGTTTGCTTTCACATGAGCTCAGCCGGTGGGAAATCCAATCGGAACGATAGGATACATCCACAAGGACAAAAAAATAGAAATAAAAACCAAATACCAGCTGGCACAAGCAGATTAAAAAACTAGCACACTAGCAACCTCATTCATTGTTTTTTCTTTTCTTTTTTCTTTCGGTGTTTTGTATCTAGCTTTTTTGCAGTAATAACCAAGAAGTAGAATGGTTGTCTTTTGCCGATTTACAATCCTCAGAGCTTGCTTCATTGTGGCTAAAGGCATTAACAACCCTTACCAAATTTCCCAGGGAACTTGCAGAAGAAACTATGTGGAAGGCACGATGTTGAACTAGGATGCAGATACATAATCTGACTTGTTAGGCAAGGAATAGATGCTCTTTTGGTGATGATACTTTCCTGTCAACCACCAACATCATCATCAAGCTTCAAAAATATAAATATGTATTTCTAATGGTTCATTCAATTACCCACACCCCTGCAAGCCATTTTTTTCCCTGTATTGTTTACATCATGTTTGCTGCCATTTCAACCCTTGAATTGTTGGAAAATTATCCCTTTGTGAATTTTGGACAAGGGCATAGCTCCCAATCTTGGCACCTTCAACAAGTGAAATTTGTTAGTGTACAAAAATTTAAAACAAGGTGATCAAGCTATCACTTTGATCAATTAGCTAAAAGCATAGAATAACTTAATTTTTTTTGAATGAAAGGCGAGCATAGCAGCCCATGCAGTCTGCTAGTGCTACACAGCCAGTAGATCCTAATTGAGGCTTATAAGCTGTTAGGTTTCTTGCACATACTGAACAACAAAGCTGTACTCTGGTATTTTAAGAGTAAAGAAAATTTGGGTTGATGACTGAATTTTCAAAAAGCACAGTAATTAGCTTAGATATTCAACCTTTCTAAACTCCCTGGAGTACAAATAACAAGGATGTTGTAAACATCAAATTTCAGAAGACGTACAAAAAAGCAAGAGAGAAAAATTAGGGGGTTATTATTCTTTCAAATCTCTTGAAATTCAAGCACAAACTCACCAAACTGCCTCACATGTGGCACATTTTCCTAGGAAGTTGGGAAAGGACCAAGAAGTCAACCAACCTTGCCTATCTCAATGAATTGTGGGAGAAGGCAAGAAATCATCAATTACAAGTCTGATGGAGTCTAGAAAGTGGGAAACCCCCTCAGGGTCCCAAGTAATACTCAAAGGATTGTTTATCCACTACTGCCTTATACTCAAATTTTTGGCTGAAGTGGAGGAATTCACTTGACAAACATACAGACCACCAAGCTATTATGAATGTCAGATTTACCTTTGGGCAAATTTTATTACCCATCAACAGAGATTCAATTCACATATTCAAGCATTTTCATGTCTGATTAAATGTAAATATCAAATGGAATGAGATTTGGGGAGGTTTCACATCTGATAAGGCATTAAATTATTAATGCTTGGCTTCATGTCCAGGATGGACCATTCTATCAATTATGGAATTCAAAGTTGAAATGCATGAAATCATAGAGTGCATAAGATCATAATGTATATTTTTTTGGCAGGAGTTTCAATCATCAAGTGGGAAACTCCCACCAAAAAAAAAGTATGCATTATAATCTTATGCACTCTATGATTTCATGCATTTCAACTTTGAATACCATAAATAATAATAAAAATCAATCTATAGCAATGCTCTTCAATAAAAGAATTCACTTCATAGCAATGCTCTTTGACCAAAGAACCCACCACCTCTGCTGGGAATTTCATCAAAAGATTATTGGCAGTAAATTGCCACCACTTGTGACATTTTTTCCGGGTGATTTTCATGTGAAAATGTGAGCACCTATTCCAATGAAGGAGCTGAATTTTATCATGACTTATAATGCTGAAACCTGTGACAGAAATACTTATACAGGAACCATCACTCAAGATGGGATTTTAAAATTATTTACTTCATACCCTTATCACCAAATTTACTAACCTTTCCCCACTGTGAAGTACTTGAATACTTGATACACATTAGCCAGTCTAGTGGTTCTTTCCAAGAAAATTATTGGCCAGTGGCACAAATATTTGTGACACAACTCCATCTGCAAGGTCATTTTGGCCCAACTTCTCGAGCTCAGCGAAGCCCACCTGCCGGTGCCAATTTTGGGCAAGTTAGCCAAATGCCATTGTTAATCTGGAAGGACAAACCAATCGAAGTTAGGCTAGCAAGACATCACGAGTCGCGCTAGCCCACGATTGACCACGGGCTCTGAATTTCCCCCTGGCTGTACTTGATACCGTCTAATCCCCATGAAGGCGGGGTGAAGGGGCCCATACATACACGGTGAAAACCTGTGCGAGGGTATGGTCGATAAGGTTGAGAATTTCCACCTCATGCCTATTCTTATCATATGCCCGATCGGCTGAGATCATGGATTTCGAACAAGCGCCAATCTCAATCCGGGGAATTGCCCTCCTTGAACTAGTTATCTTGCTCTGAGCAATTTTCTGAAGAGAGTGAGTGGACTGCTGAGCTGGCCACGGTACATGAATTTTTTTCGAATCAGGTTCCGCAATTACGCTTCTTATTAGATTGACCGGTCAAGTGTCAAATCAAACCCTGTTTGCTGGCCATTTAGACTGGAAATCTTGCGTTGAAGATGCCAAGACCCAGACATCCCATTCAAGCCAACTTTCAACTATGCTACCATCCGGATTTCGGCCGAGTTTTCTGCCTGCACCTTTTGGTTAAAAACAAACGATTCTTCCACCTTTCATATTCCCTTCGACATCTATGCATCATTGCGAACAACATAAATATGTGCAGAAGTGTGGCCTATCAATTCAAAACCGGTGCTTGAATCAGGACCCTATCTGAACAAACTCTGCGGGAAGTAGGCTTTGATCATTAAACATGTGCGAGCCGGCTGAATTGAAATGAGGATTGTGGACATCCCGCATCAAGCGAATTCCAACGGATATCGAGTGCTGAATCACTTGGCTGACTTATGATGCCTGTGATGCGTCAAAGGGACTGAGCTTCCGCGCATTGCTTTTGTTGGCAAGCACAGCTCTCTACAGCGGAGAAAGCGAATGGGCGACCGGAGTCTGCAAGGTCGGGTGAAGTCTTTAACGCATGGCGGTGTTATCAAAGCGGGTATACGTAGATGCCGCTGGAATCGATAGTGCACAAAACATCGAGAATGATTGGACCGGAATCAGATGATAGCAATGCTTATAAATTATTAGAACAAGAACAGATGGCCAAACATTACCGACTAGCGACGCAGCAGTCGGAAAGACTTTCGAAACAGACTGGCAAGCTCTCCGATGAATCGGCTAGTTGCCCAGAGAGACACAGCTGATGTTCAAGTTCTTCCGACTCGTCGATTCATTTGGCCGGAAGTTGCAATGGTAGAGTGCTTGTTGGAAATAAGCTTATTTACCTTATGGCACCCGTTCCAGCCGATCGGCTTGATGCACAACATGGACCTGTTTGGCACTTCCAAAATCTAGCAAAGTAACCAATCGATGGAAGGTTGATGAAATGAATGCAGCTGTCCCTTCAGCTTCGATTGCATGCCAATACCCCGGATTCCTATAAAAGGGACTCCTCTTCCATAGAGGAATGACCCATCAGTTCCTCAACCAAAGACTACTTGATATTCACTTCGGGCGCTTCAACATGATGACTATTATTATGCTCACTAAAAGATTATCCGTGGCTCAACAGTGGTACTTCTTATTGATATTCTCTTTCGCGCTTTTCGCGGCAAGCCACACCTTGCCCACCAACACGCTATCACCAATGGCCAATCCAAGCAGCACCGCCCCACCGAGGGGTGCGCTAATTGTCCGACAAAAGAACCCCCTTCCGGGCGAACACCCGTGAGCAACATGGTTGAGCTCCAACAAGCGAGATTGAATCAGGAGCTTCATGCTAAACCTTTCCACACTTCCTCCTAGTTCCATTCCTGACGCTATTAGAGCCCTCCGAGGTACCAAGGGGCCACAAACTATTTTCGTATACCCAGGTACATAAATTCATGCTTAACTCGAATTTTTTTTGCTGTGAATATATATTATGGGGTGGCTTACACACGTTTTCAATCCCAGGGAATTATAATTTGGGAGTCTACATACGCTATGGATATGTGAGATAAAGCAGATCTTCTGGACATCATAATTTCAAGAAAGTTGATTAGAAATCTTCAATTGTAGCCTTTGACCATTCAAGGTTTTACCCCGGCCCCAGGAACCTATGCACAAAATCAAGTGACTGTGAGCGTGGCCACGGGTCGAGCTGAGACCGGTGGTGATCCTGAAAGTTCAGCAATATGGGTTCAACAAAATGAGTTGGTAGCACCCTCCGGAGGGCTTTCCTACTTGATTCTTGACACTGAAGATTTTATTTTTGTTCCCTCTCTCCAACAAAAAATAGCTTCAAGATGTTCAACATGTAAGCACGAATTCTCCCAGAGGAACTGATCTCAATGAAATAGTTAAAAGGCTGATATGTTGCCATTACATAGAAACGTGGTCAATAATTATGGTACTGGTACAAATACTCAGGCAGTGGCGCTAACTGCCCAGGGTGAAAGGCATGGTAAGCTAATTAAGAGCTTGCTTCGCTTGTAGCCCCTATTCCTGACTTCTTTTCGCATTCCTTTTGGGAATGATGTACGGCCTGCATAGTGTACTCAATGTGTAGCTTCAGCAGCTATCAGGATACCCTTTATGTCAAATCAACCTCCGCCTATTTTCTCGGATGTAACATTGAGGGTGCAGTAGGTATGTGATCTGTGATGACATTTGTTTGAATTACAAGGAAGAGGCTCACATCAGTATCACTCTGCATTTCTGGATGTTAAAACAGATTTTATCTTCGGTGGTGGAACCGCATGGTTTGAAAAAGCTAACATTGTAGTAAAGCCACCTCGCAGCTTTGCCACGTTGAGTACCCCTCTTACATAACTCCACTACGCCGATCAACTTTCTCTAAACTTATCTCAGTAAATGAAATTCCAGGATAACGGCGCACAAAAGAGTTCAAGCCAGCAGCCCTGCAAAATTTGTCTTCAACCTCTCAAATATCGTTGGGGCACCCGGAACGAGAGCGGGCTCGGCTTATTTGGGCCGGCCCTGGTCTGCGCTCGCCGCGGTTACGTTTCAGTTTTGCTCGCTTTCGAATGTGGTAAACCCAGCCGGATGGGCTGCCTGGAACCCACCACAAGATTCTCGAACCCAATCAGTCCAATTTTACGAATTTCAAAATAGCGGACCAGGTAGTCAAGGCCGTCGTTTATTCGGCAAGGCTTCCGTGTTACCGCTTAAAATTGAACAAGTCTTGGGGCCGGTATGTTACGTTCAATTCCCTACTCCCCAAAAAGCCAAAACAAATACTGAATTCCATCGGCCTGTTCCTCAGAACTTTGCTTCGTGGGCTACTTGATTCTTTCTCGAATTTGTTTCATAGTATCATTGGACAACTTACGGTATGTCATGTTCTTAATCTCAACTGACACTATCAAAAAAGCAAAAAAAAACTGACTGGCATTAACCTGTTCCTCATAACTTTGCTTCTGGGACTACTTGATTCTTTCTTCTTGAATCTACTGAAGCATGTGATTGGAACTCCACTTACTCTCTATAGGATGGACTTTGTATTTGTTGGACATAGCTGAGAGAAACCCCTCATGAATTATATATCATCAAACTGTTGTTGAAAGATTTCAAGATTTATCCAGTGGGCGATTAGGACATTTCAATCTTTTTCTTGTCGAAGGAGGTGGAGCGACATGTAATCGTATTTTCCTCATAATCTAACCTTCAAAGCCTATCTCTGTTTGCCAAGTGAGACATGGACTTGAATCCATCAGGAAAAAAGAAATTAGGATGACGGGTGCCACTCCAGGTAACCGAAGCTGATTCAGTCGTTCAGCCATATTCTTTGTATCAGTGCATGATGATGCAGCTCCTAGTGATAAAGACGTCCAACCAGGACCCCGGAGAGCCCCTACCAAGCCACCTAATGTAAAACCTGTGAAATCCAGGTTTTTGCTACCTAGGAATATCTGGTTTTGGGAGGCAGATGCATGTTTTGCTACCTCTGACATCAGGGTCCTTTTTGTTTTTTTTTTTCAAAGTTTTTTCAATAAATTTTTCAATCATGCATAAATTGCATTTTTTTTCATCCTTGTGAAAAAACTCTCATCATTTTATGCATAAATTTCAACTAGTGGACAAATTGCTACCACATACATAAGGATCATGTGCTGCTTTTTTTGTGTTTTTGCTACCTTTTTGCGGATTTACATTAGGGACATTTTGGAAAAAAAAACTTTTTTGCTACATCTTACATTAGGCGGCTTGGTTGGGGCTTTCCGGGGTCCTGGCTAAATGTGGTGCCTCAGGAAAAGTGCTACCTGTTGCATGAGGATCATTTATTTTTGCATGTCTTCTAGACCAAAGTTGCTACCAGATACATAAGGATCAATTGCTTTTTTTGGGGGGTTTTTTGCTACTTTTTTTTTATTTACATTAGGGACATTTCAGAAAAAAAAACCGTTTTGCTACCTTCCACATTAGACGGCTTGGTAGGGGCTTTCCGGGGTCCTGTCCAACCTTGCTATCAATATTTTTAGTAGCGCCTATTATCTCGCCCATTCTCATCCAACAAAAGAGGCTTATTTTTGGTATGCCAACTGGTTATTCTGAAGATTTCCATTGACAATGCACGGCAAAATTTGCTTCGCATTGGCTGGTGCACCACTCTAGCATACATGAAAGCAGTCCATCAGGCCTCAGCAAGTCATCCAGCGACCTCGTTGTGTCCCTGGTCTTGGGAGTCCCTGCTGATACTTAACAATCATAGCGCACAACCCGAAAATCCATACTCATGCACGTTGGCAGCAGTATTGAACGTGAACGCTGCCTAAGACCAATGTACACTACTCATTGAGTTTAGCAATATTTATCATCAAATTTTGTGGATCGGCAGTACATCCTAATATTTCAAAAGCGTGTGATGATCAACTGCCAAGCTGATTCAGATCCCGGGTTGAGGTACCAGACGAAGAGGATGTGGAGCATGAGCACTCCAAGCAAAGATGAAGTCAAGTGCCGAGTAGATCAATTAAATTTCATCCAAACGCAGGAAAAATGACCGAGTCACGCATAGGCATATAACACATAATTTGGGGGTCAATTTTTCGAGTAGATTTGATTGGATTTCATTTAACCCATCTTTCCGGCGGGGGCGGGGTTCCTAGATAGGGTGGAGGATGAGACAGTAAGGTGTCAGATAAGATCGGTTTCGTGAGATTATCACCAAGCTCACATTTTACGTCGTCCACCTTGGGGAGTGGTGATGGCGAATCGGTTGTTGTACAGGCAACGTCTAGAGGGAAGCGGAGCAATTGAACATGAATTCTCAAGTCTGCGAGGTGGCGATTTATCAATGATGATGCTTGTGATGAAATCCGAGCTTACTTCTTCGCCCGACCTTGAAGTTTCTTCTTTGTCCTTTCTTGCTTGGCAACTTTAGGGCATTGCGATCTGACCTTACCGGCACGAGCTAGGGATCCGTGGACTGGGAAACGTAAATTCATTCAGGCGATGGGAGGGAGGCGGAGGAGAGATGTCAATATTCGGTCATGTTTCATGAGATTGTGAGTCGAGGGCCCAGGAATATGCGGGATTGGACGATAAGTGATTCGGAGTGGAACACTGAGGCTAGGAACGGCTTGTTGCTTTTGACGAGAGCGAATCAAAAATCGTACTAACCTTTACCCATCTGAAAAGAGGATATCAATTAGTTGGTTCAGCTCATATACGTACGGTATGGCTCGAGATGCAGGGATACGTGCTTACCTTGCGGAGATGCTGTCGATTGTCGTTGTTGAGGTTGCGTGGGGGGTGTTCCGGTGGAGGGGGATGACGGGGACGCAGGACGAGTCAGTCGTGCAGGACGCAGCACCGGTTGTTAGGTTTCGCACTGGCGAGACCACTCGGCATTAGGTTTACGCTAAGCCCCGTGCTGCGGGGTGGACCCCCCGCACGCAGCAGTCTGCCTTCCCTGAAGTTATCCGCGATGAGCGCAATTTGCGCGGGGCCACTACCGACCGACTCGAGCAGACCTTGCTGCTACTTTAGCCAACACCTCCTCGTCTGTTGGAGGGTATGACACCCACCGCCCCTGACACCAAGCTAAACATTGCTTTCCAGTCGAGATCAGACCAAGGCGGCCAGTGAGGTAGGCTCCAGCTAAAAGAAAATATCTGATGCAGTGAAAGTGTCACTTCATTTGTCTTGGCCTGAAAGAATATTGTTATGGTGCTAAGCTATGGCAACTCAATATGTCAGATCAGGGAGGTGAAAATAAGCAAGGGGTGAATGTGGAGATGTAAAAGCATTGTTGTTATTCACCATTGGTCATCAAAAAGGAAAATATTCAGGAATCAGGAGTGGAAAGAAAATGGTTATGCCATAGACAGTTGGTGATGTAATGCTGACTGGCCTGACAAGAATCTAAGTATCTTTTCCTGTTTCTTATTTTTGGGTCAGAAGGCATCAGAAGACTCTTTCCTTGTCCTTCCATGATCTCATCTTCTGGCCTGGGCTTTTCACTCTAATTTTCAATTTCTTTTCCCCTTGGCTCTTTCTCTCTTTCTTTGTTTTCTGTTTTCTGAGGCAACCAATCAATCCTTCCACAATACCATCTTATGGTTTAGATTCATTTCAAAATTTTATTAACAATAAGCCGTTAAGGAGACAGAATTTTTTTGAGTTTTTGAGGCAGAGTACCTTATTGTAGCTGATGTCAAAAAGCTAATACTACTTCCCGTCCTCTAAATTTGTGAATTTACAAGGAAGGGCTAAACCTTATTGGCTGGTGAAAATTGTTTGACCTCATGATTTCACCAGCATACAAAGTTTAGCTGGTCCATCTAAATCAAGCCATCTGGTCAACCAGAAGTCCTCCACTATTCAAGTAACTAACAAGATGATATTGAAAATGAAAGAAATAGTCAAGTGATCAACAAAGAAAGAAATAGAAGTAGATCTTGAAATGGAAAGATATTATTTATATCAATGAGTGAGATGACTTAGTGACTTCTTTCAGCTCTAGTCCTAGCTGAACCTGTGATAGATGCCAGAAAACATTTTAGGATAAAATGGAAAGATAAAAAAACAAGCCTGATCTCATAAGAAAGAAGGGCTCAACAAGAAGGGAAATAGGACAAGGATTTAGAAAATAGAAGAGAAAATGTTGGTGTACAGTGGATGGACATTTATTGGACAACTTCCCGTCAGAATCTGAGGGTCCCCCAGAACCAATCTCGAGCCTCAAAAACCAAATTCCCCTGCAAGAATCTAGAGGTTTCGAGTCTAGATCAACTTCTGCGAGGGCTACAGTTTGCACAGGAACCCCTCCATTTTTGACTGCTTGTTTTGGATTCCAGGGCTTCAAAGCACAAAATTCAAGTCACAAGAATTGGTGAAGTGGTGCAGAATAGGTCCCAAAGAATGAATATGAAAAATTTTAACAAAAAACAAAGTTTCAAAATCTGCAAAAAATAAAAAATAAAAATGTTTTGTTTATCCAAAAGCTTTGATATTCATTTTGGGGGAGTGGGAGTGCTTGAAGAAAGAAAGAATGGAAAATGGGAAGAATGATTGGAGGACTTCCCGTCACATCTGCGGGTCTCCCAGAAATGATTTAGAGGCCTCAAAAGCTAGATTTCCCAGCAAAATTCTAGACTTTTCGGGTCTAAATCGACATCTGCGAGGGTCCCAGATCCGACGGGAAGTCCTCCATTATAAATTAAATTCTAAAAAAATGGTTACCAGTTAGTTTCAAACAGCTGTTGAGTAGGGCATTCACCAGCTGACATTGTAGTAAAGCAATAGAATTTACTGTTTTGGATCCAATCTGGACAGCCAACCTGGCTCGCCCTTTGTTGGTTTTAATTTTTTTCATTTCTAATCATTCTTGCCATGTTCCACTCTTTCTTTCTCTCAGTACTCCCACTCCCTTGAAATCAATAACAAAGCTTTTGGGAGAAAAACATTTTTATTTTTTATTTTTCACAAATTTTGAAACTTTGTTTTTTTGTTTTTACTTCTTCATATTCATTTTCTGGGACCTATTCTGCTCCACTTCACCAAGTCTTGTGTCCTGAATGTTGTGCTTTGAAGCTGTAGAATCCAAAACAAGCAACCAAAAATAACAGTCCACCCACTCAACGGTGCAACAGATACGAGACATGTATTCGTATCGGATCATATAGTATTTATTTTGAGCCTGATACCGGTATCATTATTTCCTTGGTTGGTGAAAAAATACATTAGGGGGTATCAAATATAACCAAATCCACCATTACTTAATTGACTGGTTTGAAAAAATCCACCCTTTTTAAAACATGTTGGTTATCCATTTAACCCCTTTAGGGGCACATTGAGGCAAAAAAAGTTTTGGGAAAAGTGACTGGTTTCTGATGGTGGATTTCCTATATTTGATACCCCCTATTGTATTGGATTTGGATTTAAAAATGAAAAAAAATCGTCTTTGTTTTTTCTTCAATACGGCCAAATATCTTATATATCAAATACGTTTTTGGTGGGATCAGTCATCTGAGACAATACAGAATACTTGTCTCACTTTCCAAAGACAATACGTGTGTATTGTCTTAGGAAAGTGAGACAACACAAATCTGGTATTTTTGGTATTCAAATTCTGAGACAATACAGATAAACACCTGATACTGTATCGTATTGTCTCTGTTGCACCGTTGACCCACTGTACCTCCATTTGATTTTAATCCAAGCTCCTCCTAGAGGTCTCCTTGCTCTATGTTGAAGATTTTTCAATGATCTTGAAAGAAAACTTATTTGCTTATTTCATAAATCATAAAATTTACTTGGGGATGAAAATGCATTGACATGAATTTTTTGCCACCAAACAACTGTTATACATTATCTCTGAGATATCACAAGTGATGGTAATTGCCATCCTTCACTTTGTGTCACTCAGGAAGAAGTTAAAAAGAAAAAAAAATATTCAGGCAAAAATTATTATAATATAGGGTTTTCAAAATTGATTTTTAAACCACTTTCTACATAAAATCATAAACCCTACGGGCCCAAGAAATCAACATTATGAAACTTGATACTTCTCTCTATTTGGGGCTTATCTCAAAACTTTTGTAAAGTTTATGATTTTATGTAGAATGCAGTTTGAAAATCAAATTTGAATACCACAATATTTTCAATTGAAAGGTAGATGAAGGCCCTAACTTATCAAAGTCCCTCCCTCTTACGAGGCAGTACAAGACAGAGCACATGCTTCCCCCCCTCCAATTTCAGAGGGACTTGTTTCAGTCAGATGAAGGCCAAATTCCATGTTTCACAATAATCTAATGTAAGAAATCAAAAGTTGATATAGATCAAAAGCTGGTGTAAAGCCCTTGTAAAAAGAAGGCAATTTTAATTATCCCTGCTGTACCCTATCAGTGTTGCCATAAAGACTGTGAAAACCATCTAAAGTCTACCCAGCTTAATGTATAATGCTCCCCATCACTGTGTAGGCAAATTGTGACTTCCAGCTGAATTATCCATTTACTATGAAAGTTCTGTGTTGGTTGGTGTCCTTCTATTCAAGACATTCAAAATCGAATTCCAAAATTTCTTTGAATTCGAAGTCAGTATTTCCACATACTCCATCAATTCTGAAAGAAAAACCTCTCAGTTAAGCGTCAGGAATGTTGTGATGCCGGTAACTAGATGCTCATGTATTCTGCGTCGGGACCAGAGTTCGTCAATAGGCTGAATGAGACTGGAGAACTGAGATGTCTTCATATTGATAAATGAATTCTGCATACAGGGTGACTGCGATGGGTGCATGCATAGTATCAAACAATCCATTCCTTCCAGCAGCTGAGAACTTGTCAAGGCACAAAAGACGAACTGACCAGCTTCCACATAACAGAACGGAGAAAAACGGGAAAAGGCGGTGATATGCTCAACAAGAGAATGAGAATGTTCATTGCAGTTCGTGTTTTGATGGCAGCATGGAACGTGAGGTGACAAAATAAATAAATCGGAGCAACAAGTGGTCGTGGAGCTTTTCAAAAGACAATCGGAAAAGAAACGGTACAACAAAATCACTGATTCTATTTACCGGCTGAGCTCATAGAAAGACGCAAGTTGGTTGAGGTGAGATGAGTGGACTCGAAAGAAAACCGGGTGGAGAAAATAAATAAATAAAAACTCATGACTTCTGCAGTTGAATGATGGAATGTAACGAAAATTTGAGGAAGGCTTAGAAGGGAACTGGAAGAGTGACTTCCCAAATTTCACGAAGAAAAAAAATGATTTGGGTCATTAATGTTCAGAGAATTTGGAAAGTTCCTTGGAGTGGTAACTCGCGAAGAGCTGGCGAACCGCCCATGACACATCGGAGTTTCCGACGACCAATCGGAAATCTTCGTTACGCATTTCCCCGGTTCCACTTTGAGATCAATACATAACACCAGTGTAAGAGTCAGTGACAGAGGCCGCGAGGGATAAATAGTCTTCCTATTTTTTTTATGAGCAAAATTTAACTTACGGTGCAGCCTCTACTTTCATGACTTCAAACTAAGATTTACACCGGGGGGGGGTAACAGCGGTTGATCAGAAATTCAATCGCTCCATCCTGGGAGGTATCGGGATCATAACAGAAAAAACATACCCAAATCACAGCCTTGAGCCCAGGTACCGTGTGCTTCATGTATCGGTCGACTAATAGGTGGAGCCAAGTCATTTTAATATCCACCTCGGAATCGCCGCCCCCAACAGACTGAGAAGTTCCAGCAAGTGTAGTGTAACAGGCAGCTATCGGGTTGTGAATGAGCACAGCGTTAAACTTTACTTCGACAGAGCACTCATAGCAAACAGATTCTCACTCACCAGTCTCTGCGACTATGATAGGTTTACCCATTCCATTTGGGCCGTAGATCTTGAGAATCGAGTATGGGAATTCCGGGATTAGTTTCATATCTTCCGAGAAAGAAAATAAGGAAAAGACGGTACCTGGGCAAACTCATAGAGTTTTGTAATTGCCTCTTTATCCTTAGGCTTTACATTTGTTCGGACAGCACCCTTTCCCCAGTGGTAGAACGAGAGACCTGTTTTGTTGAATAACATGATGAGAAATTGCAGGCGCCAGTAGGCTTCGCAGGGAGATCTTTCCATGAAGGTTGCGCGGAAATAAAGAGAGTAAACGTACCGCAGATATCGACATACCCATCTCCGGGCCAGTAGGGCGTATAACCTCCCCGCACTTTGTCAATGCCATCTCCAAACATGGCATTGGGAGACCAGAGCATGTCTATTTGTCAAATTTGAAAGTACAACGTCAGATCCACAAATCAAACGAAATTGAGGAATGTCGGAATCTTACAGGTTCTGGTAGTAACTCTTTTAATTTCCTTGGCTAATAATCGCCATTTGTTCTTGAATTCTGTTCCGTGAGGATGAAGAAGACAGAAGTAAGCGCTTCGATCTTGTTCATATTCAGCAGTTTTCGGATGCTTGCAATGAAAACATTAAGAACGCCTAACTCAACTCTCTGGCTGCATGCCCCATGAATACCATGCACCGTTCATCTGTTGTGCAAAGAGAAGAATGAGATGAGCCAACAAATCACTCAAGCTGCCAAGGTGAAAGCCCAGAGGGGAAACCTAAGGAAGACGGACTTCGTGAGCAAATCTCAACCAAACAGTGATGCCGAGGTCGTTGACTTGTTTCATCTTAGCCGCGATTCTGTAAACCTAAACGCACAACGGCGCCATGGAAGTGAGGTGATTGGTCAATGAGATTTATAACTGCAGTAGCCAGAGAATCTGACAAAAGATTCAACATACCATCTCGTAGTTGACGCTGTCAAGTCCCTCCGATGGCATCAGAGCAATGCACCAAACTGGGTTTCCCTCCAAGTTTTTCACGGTCTCAATATGCTAAGGGGTTGGATTCCGTAGAAAGAGAAAAGGTAAGAAACGGATCAACAGTTAGTATTCTGCTTCATCCACTTCTCCGCTTGAAGGTGAGATGAAGCGGAGATATGAAAGGAAATAAAGTGTCAACTTACCCAATCAACGGCTTTCAGTTTCGGATCCCAAGACGACAGACTAACGTAGTCACCCATCTAAGGAAGAAATCATACTGAGTTCAACAACTACCGAAAGAAAAACCTTTAAAAGAAACCAGAAAGAGAAACGCACAATGGACATGGGTTTGAATAACTTCTTGTTGATATCTTCAGGTTTATTGGGCTTCTCCTTTTCTAGAAACGCAGGAACAAATCCGAAGGCTATCTCATTGATGTGCAATAAATTCGGATCCAACCCTAACGAGTTCCAACTACTTTTGTCGGTATTGAAGTAGTTTTCGTAGCTAGACTGGGACAATTCGGTTGGATCGCAATCTTTGTTCAAAGAGCAGTTGATTTCGTCTCCCTTTGCTAGTATAGCAGACACATCTACGGATAAAGCTCCAGTCATCTTGACGATCGTCAGATTCGCCATTAGGGCAACAGACGCCCAGAATCGAGCGGTCTTCCCCGTGTTCGTTACCATTTTCGATCCTGAGGTTTGACACTTAGGCAGCGGAGACCTTAAAAGTCACGGTGACCGGGAAAATACGACGAAGGGGATGTGCGGGGGAAAGAGACAAGCTCAAGGAGGACTAGTGCAACGCAGTGGACTAGCGTCGCGAGGATTGGGCTGAGAGAGGAGAAGCTAAGATGGGGGAGTTTTGGCTTGGTGGGGATTCAGAGAGACTTCGGGAGGTGGGGTTTCAAACGATGCAAGACGATGAGATGAGTAAAACTCTTGATAAATATATGAGAGCAATTACTCTGTCCACCAGGGCGATGGGGAAGGGAGAAAGGAAGGAGGTTTCTGAACGATAGAAGGTCTTTTATATTTTTTTTGTTATAGTAAGTATCGATGTAGTGTCCACTATGGGATTACTGGTTGGAGTAAATAGGGGATGAGAGCAGAATCCACAATGGGCGGTAGACGTCCGATGCAGAGGAGGGGGGAACAAGCTTCTATAAATATGGAAGCAGTAGATGGATAACGCCAGCAAGATGGCCGTGTAGTTCAACGAGGCTAAGCACACCATCGGGCGAGCAACTTTATGAGCTTATTAAAAGTAATGTTTAATACATATACCACTGTATGAGTCGCCGTCCATTGAACCGATGGCACGGCACCAACAAGGTAATATGGGATCGACGTATAGTTGGTTGAGGTTGGATGATGATGGTCAGCACGTTGGTCAAGAAGATGATGCATGTATCTATTGTATTTTATGTATCCAAACAAGGTGGAAAGCCAATCTTGGAGAGAAGAACCAAAGGGCAGATAATACATGTTTACATGTTTTTCTACAAATTCTATTCTTGCCGCTCAAACCAAGCAAGACAAATCAGCCGTGCCTCTCCTCCACCTTACAACAACTTACAATACCGCATCTTAACAAATGAGTGTATGAATATGTACGTGAACACTCATTAACATAACATGATGATGATGATGATGATGGAAAATTTTGAAATTTGGTCGATGATGATGAAGACTTGCTGCTTACGAATCGATCCAGGGCAAAATTCACCAGACCTTCAAGTATCAGAGCATACTCGTCCGGGATGGAGCAGCTCTTACACCAGTTGGGCTTCTTGGAGGATGCAATACACATTTATGTTAAAGGATAGATAGTCATCAGTCTTGGCTTTTTGAGCTCGACAGCCATCAACATCACGCAAAACCAGGACATGGAAGATTGCAGATTGAGCACGATCGTGCTCCTGCGTCAGCGTGATGTGGTGTACAATGGCATTGGTAAGACGAGAGACATCTTTACAGCTGTATGTACACAACTGTTCGTAATTGCTATGTATTGCAATACAGCTTAACTGCAAATTCGGTCCGGGGATTGTGGTGCAGGTGGACCATCGCCGGCACGGGCCGCACGGCACCCTCCACCATGTAACAGTAAAATTAAATGTTAAGGACTCGAAATTGGAAAACGTTGGAAGCCTTCGGTGGATCTCCGATTTGAGATTACCAATACCAACTTGTATACATACTTTGCCAAGGCAAGCCTCTGAGTTCTTCGCTTGTTCCAGCTTGTTCTTACAAGAACTCAAGGCACAAAGTTCAAGGAAAGCCTGGAAAGGGGAGGAGGAACAGGACATCTCTAGCATCTCAGATGCAGAGATCCAAAGGGGATGGCCGCACTAAATAAATATTGTAACTTGCACTCCAAATTCTATCAACACATCATTATCATCTCATCGTGCTCTCTCATATGAAGGCTCATCATCAAACACAATCGAATGCTTGAGTTCAGTTGAAAAGAAGCTTGGGGAGATCTCTGGAAAGGTTGAAGTTTTACAGTGCTAATGTCTGAGTTTTGTATGAATTGATTGGCTGTATCGCTCAGATATAAATAGATATGGAAGTGCCATTAATAATCACAGAAGAACACTCTCGTCGGATATTCAGGGTTTGGGCCGGAATCGATCAATCCTACCGGCACTCAAAAATTGTTGAGCTGCAGGTCCCATCAAACCAGAAAAGCAAACTGCTGGCCTCAAAATGATGGATAGTCCAAGTTCATGAGACTCGCCATAGGATGTGAGAAGAGATATCAATCATCCATGGATTACTGTTACTTCCCATGCGTTCTAGATTGGATTTTCGTTCTCAGGAGGATTGGTCAGATCCGAACCACTCCAGGAGGGAATTGCACTCTTGGGTTTTGTCTTGCCCCCTTCAAAGAGATAAATATATCTTTGGAAGTACGCATGGTTGGAGAATCGTGATGATTAGCGAAAATGAGATGGAGTTTGTCTTGCTTGATGAGCAATTCAGTAAGCACGAATATGTGAGCTTGCTGAGAGTGGCATATCACCCGGTAATTATGTTTATCGACTGTCAATTCAGAAACTTGGATCGCTACCTAGCCGGTCGGGGAAGGTCGGACTAGTAGAAAGACATTGTACCGGGCTACCGGGCTGATACGAAAACCCCAAGAATGTTGTAAGATGCAGCAATATCATCTTGGAAGTGATGGGCAAGGAGGGCCTTCTATGTCAGAAGATGCATGTTTCTTGTATATGACGCAGTCGGCTCTGACTTCTGGTATAGCTTGGATCTGTTCAAACTTCGACTTCAGTTTTCATCAGCTTACCTTGTTCTTGATGAGGGGCGCCAAGACATCTCGGAAAATCGCCCTTAGGAGAGAGCCTAAAATTAGAGGAGAACAGAGGTGATGCGTACAGGTACTCACCAACTAGCGACGGGAAAATTCTCATAAGGGATTGCAGGGAGACCCCTTGATCAGTGATTCGGTTCAGGGAACAAATTGAAGCTCGGAGTCGGCCGACACATTCTTGCGGAACACATACTGCCAAAACATCTTACGATCACGAAATTACCAAAAAATGTCTGGCACCATGACGATAATGTTACATGCAAAACTACACTTTTTTTGAAAAAAAAGGCTAAGACGGGACTAGCAAGCCCCCTAATAAGGCTAACTTACATAAGTCCCTCCAGAAATCGTAGTGTCGCGCATACTGTCCGATCATCAAGTGGCTAGCGTCTCCCCTCAGAACATAGAGGGACTTAGTTGAGTCAGTGTTCTTGGGATGGTAAGTGTTTTTGATCATAAACCAGCAAGCAACCAGCAAATTTTCTTTTTTCTTTTTGGCTTGAAAGCTGATTGGTGTTTTTCTCAACATTGCAAATCAGAAAAGTGCTGAAAGACTAGGCGTGTGCCGCCTCAGTGTCTGGTCTTCCAAGCGGACTATCACTGAGGAAACGGGAAGCAGATTAAGTTACCAGATGCTGCTCTGAAACATGACCTGTTGAGACACGATGCTCGCAACTGGAATTGCTGAGAGACGCGTGCAAGTAAGGAAAACAAAAAAAATACAATAAAAACTACATGCGTATCAAGTTTAACTGGCACTTTTTGCGTCCACCATTTTTGTAAAGGAAAATAGACAAAACTACAACTGATTATTTCGTTGGCCACCGGCATCAGTGGAGTCGGATTCAGCCAAGTTAGATCAACGATTGTCAGGCACCCCTCCGTCGCAAGCGGAGTCATCACAAACTGATGGAGGGAGAAAGTTAATTAATTAAAAAGTGAACGCTTGCTGACATGCAGTGATTACTACAAATGGGACTCACAAGGCATGTGATTTCTGTTTTCTGGGCTATCAGGGCAGTAAACCTCTAAGTCACCTTGATTGCTAGGATAATTTTTACCAGTAACAGCTGTAACGATTCCGTGTTTCATCCAGAGTAAGTGTTCAGTACTTATGGTGTAATGAGACTTGGCCGCTACGTACATAGTTTACCGCCATCGAACCAATTATAACTGAGTACATAGACACTGAGGGTTCCGGTCGGCGAGTCATAATCCTTACTGCAGCCCGTGAAAACCGATTTTTTTACTAAAATACAAGAATCAGGTAAGGTAATTGTGAGCTTTGGTAAATGGTCGAATTTCCTTCTCACGTTCAGTGGGACCATCTGGCGATCCTGCTTTGCAGCCTGACAAGTTACACAAGTAGGTTCTATAACCGTCGTCACATGCTAATGATAATGAGAAACGTTGTCAACGGTCAAGGCGCGGACGAAATTTGGAAGAAAACGAGGGTGGGGCTCACAGGCTTTATGGTCGGGTGGACTCCACCCACCTTCCGCCGTTTGGAAAGAGAAGAAGCAAGTACGAGCATTGGCAACGGTTATGCAAAGGGTTGTTATCATCCCGATAAAAAGGACGGGAATCATGACGCGGGAGGAGTCCTTGACGGCGAATATTTCCGGGCGAGTAAATATGGAGTAAAAAGAACTGGTGATGACGCTCAGGAATGGTAAGTGACAGCGTTGAGTACGTTGGATGAGCGCCAGAAGGTCAAGGAGACAGAGGGGGGGGGTATTATATGAACACTGAAGCGTGCATAGCGTAACGCGAAGGGAAAAGTGCCACCCGGCCTCCTTCACTGCCACATGTGTAATCCGATCTATCTTCTCTTTGTGCCGCGAAGTCATTTAGCCAACTCTCAATCGTCAGGTGGCCTTGTGTTGTACAAACTGTTCGGTCGTTCACTGTTGTTCAAGCCTTTTTGGAGCCACTGGCGCACCTACATATTTGGGGCGCAAAACCAAGGGAACGAGTGTGCCGAGTCCGGATGTGTGCAGTGTACATACATACAAGTTCATAGTACTGCAGGAGGATCTCTTAGGATCTCGGAACGCCACCTAATAGGGGGTGTTGAAAAAGGTGTGCAAAAATGGGACAAAGCCAATCATATACACTCTTGAAATGGGTATGAATTTGTGATTTTTTATCAAAATGGTTATCATGAAAGAGTCTATTTGAGGTATGTGAACCTAGTTTTAACCAATAAAATCTTGGTATTTGGCCCCAGATTGGACATTTTACTGCCCCCCCTTTTTCTAGGGGATTTTAGCCTGAGCATACTCTTGAAAAGGTATGAATTTTCCAAAAAATATTGACTCCCCGGGGTATATAAGTTTGCCAAAAAAAATTGTACTTTTTCAACCCCCCCCATCCTAGAGCTTTCTGGGTCCTACTGCAGGTGGTTAATCCACATGTGGCAGATCAAAACATTATGGTTGCATCCAGCCTCACGGACGTAGCATGTTGGACTCAACTGGGTCAGAGAATGGTTTTGTGGAAGGATGATTGATGTATTGCATCAGTAGAGAGAAACAAAACATAGAGAAAGACAGAAGAGGAAGAAAAGAAAAGAGAGAAGAAGAAAAGTGCATACCTGGGTCAGAGAATGGTTTTGTGGAAGGATGAGGAGAGGAATCCTTCCACGTACTCTGGCCCAGGTATAGTCTGAATCCTGTGACAGGTGAGTGACAGGTCTGAAACAGGTGAGAAGCAAAGAAAGAAAAACGGAGAAAGGAAACACTACTCCAAGATAGCACTGGCACCTGAATCCGAGATATGGGGGCCAAATTGTCCTCATTGACCTCCATAGCCCTTGACTGTCAAGGACCAAGTAGGGTTGATGGTGCAATCCCTAGGTGTGCGCCACACAAACCCACCTGTTGTGCACCCAAAATCTTGAAAAAGGCAAACATGTTGCAAGTCTCAATCTGGCAGTGTAGCACTGGCCAGGCGGTTCCCGGACACTTGGGCCACCGGTTGACAAACTTGCGTGCTGAGTTTCAAGTGTTTGGGTGGGAGCGTCACAAGATTTGGAATCACAGCACTCCCTCAAAACTATGGGGATGTTTGACTGGATTTTTGTGAAGTCTTGCATGATCACTTCAATACAGCCAAGACATGAGACTGGTACATACAAGACCAGCGGATTTTGTAATGATTTTATTAAAATCAATGTTTGAACTTTTTTGGTGCTCACATAAGCCATTTGATCAACTCACACACACCAAAACCAGCTGACTTAATGTGAAAATTCACCCTTTTCAACACTAGCTGTACAAAAACTGAGAGCCTGGAAAGAAAAAGCGAACAATGGAACAACTTTACAAGACTCAGGCCTTCATGGGCCCAGGAGGAAATTCTCTGGATGCCAATGCAAAGACGGCTAGAGAAGGTTAAAGCCAAAAATCCACGTTTTCAGACAAAATCCAAAATATCAGCACACGGGGATTGTCACATTTGTCATAGGCCTCCACTGGCTTAGTAGTGTGCCAATTGCATTTCAAGTATCAAATTGCATAGAGTCACAGTCCAATATTGAGAAGGGCATATATTCCTAGGCGTATTGCGGCATAATCAAATTCTACGGGTCATTCAACCCATAGTCACTCACTGAAACCACTAGGCTAGCTCCGCTCAGTCAAAATTTATTTGGTATTTAAATGATATTTGCATACAAAATTCTTATTGCATAATGTAAGCCACAAGTTGGCCACATTGTTTGTATGTACACTGAGAATTTTTGTATAGCAGGATACCACAATTTGGCCATATTTTCTTAGATGCATTTTCATCATTGGTTAGGTCTAGAACCACAAGTTGGTCATTACATATTTACATTTTAGGGCTAGAACCACAAGTTGGACCTTTAAAGATTATTGGTTAGGGCTAGAACCACAAGTCAGCCAGGTTGTAAAATAGACTATTTAAGGAGGGCTTCTCCCCCCTCATTCCAACTTTTTATCATCTCATATCTGTTGACATATGCACCTGTGTCACCTAAATTCTTCGGTTTGAAACCAAAGATAATTGTGCCAGTATCACTGGTTTGGAACCGAAGGCAGGGCAGAGCTGGATGAGCCCATCTCAAATCCAGCTCACACAGCTCAGTGTACCAGCAATAAATTTGGCCCTATATCCATACAATCCAGATGACATACCCAAATCA